CCCCTTTCTTCGGAGCCAGGAAAAAGGTGAGCCCAAGATGGGAAGTGCTTTTAGACAAAGTTGAGCTCCTTCTTGCCCTGCCTCCTATTAATTTACATAAAAAGTAAACTCCTCTAGCTGAGAAACCGTTTGTGTCACACTCACCATTTTGAGCTTAAACTAGCGAGTAGCTTGAATGGGGACAGACCCATTCCCTCTTAAACAGTCGGTTCAAGTTAGCTGTCATCAGTTCTCGGCCAGTCCACTTATACAAATGTACAGTCTTTGGTCATTCATTACCTGCACGTGAAAGCCATACCTCCTCAGACCTCTGAAGCTAAGCAGGGCGGGGCCTGGTTAGTACTGTGAAACTGTCGCTTTGTCTTTCACTTCTCCCACATTAGAATGAGTCTGGTGGGTGTGAATGGCTGGTGGTGGTCAGAGGGGCCGACGGCACATACAGTTTGCCCCTCTTCTGCCAGTGTGCCCCAGGGCAGCTGTGGCTCGTAGTATATCACCATTATAGTAAAATAATAATGACATGTGAAGCGTCCAAAAAAGCACTTTGTAAATCCAATGCATTATTATTATTATCTCTGAAATAAGGCCCCCAAAGTAAATCAATATTTCTGGCTCTAAGCTCAAACTCATTTGTAATTACATTCTTTACATCTGCTACGCCGGGAACGAAAAATAAGTTGTTGCGATCCTTTGCAAACTTAGATCATGATTTTCCCCCCCGGGCTGCTCTACGCTTCTGTATAATGGGTTTATAAGCAAACAGGTCGCCCTCTTTAAGTGTACAGTACGAGGCTGCCTGATGAGCTCCAGTGCTGAAATGGAAAAGTGAGCGTGTCTATTGATTGAATTAACTAAAGCAGAAAGCAACACATTGATCGGCAACTCACTCCAGAGCCATTAATATCAGCGGGCAGGCACAGTGCAGGTCCACTCTGGGGCCTGTGGTTCAAAAAATGCAACGGCCTCAACTCAAAACCCCACTTTCACCTCCTCTTCCACCACTTCCAGAAATCGAAGGCTAACTCAGGGTTTTGTTAAGATTTCTTGAACTTATGACATTCTATATCCTGTGTAACCTTTCACTTTCTGCAGTCGTTTACAGTACGTTCGCTTCTCCCTCCGCTGTGAATGTGAAAGCTGTCTCCATCTGCGCAAGAATGATGCTATCGAATTAAGACAAACTAACGATTACTGTTGTGAGTGATGTGTAGTCATCATTCTTGTACATACACATAGTTATAAGGATTCATATTTATTTCATTTTATATTGGGATTTTCCACTTATGGAAAATGGCTCTACAGCTCTACTTCTGCCTCTACAATATTAGTCTACTTCCTGTTATATTTCTTTGGAACAATTCTATAGTTTATCATATTTAATGCATTGTCGGATTTAAAGTAGCAATATGTAAGATTTTCATGTCAAGTCATTTCAAGTCACCATTGAATGCCCCTAATATGTAAAAAGGCATTAATACGCTATGCTTTTTTAAAAATACTTCTTTAACCGATAACAGTAGTTCAGCCGAGGTTTTCGAATTTCAAAATTTAGTTTTACAGCTCCTAAATCTTGTTATTGTTTTCATTTCAATGTCCAGCCCTCCACTGTTTTACCAATCAGAAAGTCCATGATCCGGGTTGCCAGAACTCACAGCATCAAGCTAATCTCACTGGTAAAGTAACATGTGGCCGCAGACCTAAAAAATGTCCTGTTATGATTCTCAAATCATTAACAAAAAAACAAGGAATAAAACTAGGATTTTTATTGGGGCCTTTGTGAAAAAGGCGTTAAATATTTGATGTTGACAAATCTCTTGTCTATTCAGATATTATGGTCCCAGCTGGGTTAGTCTGCATATCTGGCAACCTGAGTCAGGGAGAGGGGGAGAGATTGCAGTACCACTTTTGGCCAAATTTTTACATACTGGTCCTTTTAAGTATCATGTTTAAGGGTCCAAATTCATCACCAGAATTCTGAGTGACTGAATCTGGCGACGATATTACATTGCTGCTTTTTACCCAGAGTGAACCAGATTCCCCACACCCCGCAGAGACAGAGGGTCACCGGGGGCCGTCACACACCGCTCCAGTTCCCGTCCGTTTGGTGTCGCCCCGGGAAGCGCAGACGGCCCATTACGGAGCGAAGACAGGAGAAAATAAACCCCAAACGTGTGGAGGACGTTAGAGGAGGACATAGACGGATGGAGCAGAGATGGAAACGTTTAGATAAAAGTGCGCCGAGCAGAGTAATGATGGAGTAATGGATGCTAAGAAAATATATAGACTGCAGTGGTCCAAGAGACGAAGGAGGAAGCAGTCGGCGAGGGCAACCACCAGAGCCCGGCTGTGTTATTGGAGGTGGGGCCAAGTTCGGGGTGAATAGTTGTGCTTGTATGTATAATCAAAAACCCTATCTTTCTAGTTTAATTGAATTTAAAGTCGTGGATTGTATATATTTAAATAACCTGGTTTTTTTATTTTTTATTGTTAATCTTTTATTAACACTTTCCCCAACCATTTGGTGAGTAACTTGGAACTGAAATCTACCTCACTGTTGCATCTTTATCACTTTGTTTTAAGCACTTTTACCGTCAAACTGCATCTCAACCATTTGGTAAAGGCCTGTAATTGAAAAAAACATGTTGAATAAAACAAAAGGAAATTATTGGTTATTTGAGTGAACATTTAAAAAGTTAAGGACATGATACAATACAGTCCATTGGTAATATAAAACATAGATTACATTGAAAAGAACAAAAGACCACATAGCTATACAATTACCATTCAAATAACATAACATATGAATAAATTAAATGAAACAAAAGGACACTATATGCAAAACTTCAAAAAGTTTCCTTCTTCAGTGAATAGGGAAACTCTCTTAGTCAAATTTGGTTTAAAAAAATGGGGTAGAATTGATACTATTAACACAATAGTAAACCACATGTACATAATCAGTCTAATGGTATGATTAGAATAACTGCTGTGGTAAAAAAAAAAAAGTGAAATATAGGGAATCCAATCAGCTTCCAACAATTGATAAATAAAGCAAACATAAATACAGTATTTCAATTTGATTTTGAGTAATTATTCAATGCTCATGCTACTTTATGTACTTATGTTACGATTTTTGTTTTTTTTTACCATACAAAACTGGAATGAGCCAAAAGACTTGGGAGAACTACAAACAATCTGTTCACTTACATATGGCTTGGAAATGTGGTAAAATCTTCAAGAATGGCATCTCAGTGCAAAAAAAACTTTGGAAGCATCTGAATGAATCTTCACCCATACTCATTCTGTAAAATCGTCATGAGACAGTATATCCAGACAATTATACACAAAGCAATTCCCTGTAGGTCAAATATAATAACGAAGAACACATGCACCCTTGGATTGGACTTGACTTGTAAAAAATGAACCACAAAATTGTCAAAAAACAGAAATGGAGGGGTAACATAGAATACTTATGTGTCCAAGTAAAGCCCAAATCTGTCTGCAAGTTAAAGTGTGCAGCAAAGTGAAACTGTCTTCTACTGCAGTGTCTTCTGGGAAATGGTCCGTTTTGGTTCCTCCCCAGGGTCCATGTGAATCACTGACAATCCCACAGAATATTTGTGTCCAGCAGGAAGTGACCTTCCACATACCCAAAACCTTAAAGTTCTGTGTTTCTCTTTTTAGATTGAGGTTACATGACTGAAAATACAAATCCACCGATGTTTACATACAACTCCGATCTGCGTCAGTAAGTATGTTTTATTGGTTCAGTGCCTTTCACCAACACCAGAAAATACAAGTTAAAATATAGTTTAAGGTGTGCGTACGTAAAATGAAAATGAAAAAACTCCACAGGGACAAGTTTGCTCGTTGGTTCCGTGTGGTTTGGTGACATCACAGTCAAAGAAAGGAGAGCTCTGAACAAGGTGCTACGCTCTGAAATAGGACTGTGAGTTGCCTGTTCTGGAGGTTTTTTATGAATCCATAAGGTACCAGGTCGTGCTGAAATAGGAATTCTTCATCTCCATAAAGCTTTTCAGCAGATGGAAGCATGAAGTGCTCCAAAATCTCCTGATAGCCACCTGCATTGACCCCGCCCTTTGATAAAACACAGTGGACCACCACCAGCAGCTGACATGACACCCCGGACCATCACTGACTGTGGGTACTTGACACTGGACTTCAGGCATTTTGGCATTTCCTTCTCCCCAGTCTTCCTCCACACTCTGGCACCTTGATTTCATCCGAAAAAAGTACTTTGGACCATTGAGCAACAGTCCAGTGCTGCTTCTCTGTAGCCCAGGTCAGCGCTTCTGCCGCTGTTTCGGGTTGTTGTTTCTGTAGCCCATTTCCTGCACATGCCTGTGCACGATGGCTGTGGATGTTTCTGCTCCAGACTCAGTCCACTGCTTCCGCAAGTCCCACAAGGTCTGGAATCGACTCTTCTCCACCATTCTCCTCAAGGTCCGGTCACCTCTTGGGGTTGTGCAGCGATTTCTGCTACACTTTTTCCTTCCCACAGACTTCCCACTGAGGTGCCTTGATACAGAGCTCTGGGAACAGCCTATTTGCTCAGAAATGTCTTTCTGTGTCTTACCCTCTTGGTCGAGGGGGTCAATGATTGCCTTCTGGACAGCAGTCAGGCAGTCTTACCCATGATTGCAGTTTTGAGTAATGAACCAGGCCGGGAGTTTTTAAAAGCCTCAGGAATCTTCTGCAAGTGTTTAGAGTTAATTTGTTGGTTCAGAAGATTAGGTTAATGGCTTGTTTAGAGTACCTTTTCATGATATGCTAATTTTCTGAGATAGGGATTTTCTGTTTTTCTTTACTTTTTTTGCCAAATTCATCAATATTAAAATAATAAAGGCTTGAACTACTTCAGTTGTGTGTAGAAAATCTAAAATATATGAAAGTCTAATGTTTATCAGTACATTACAGAAAATAATGAACTTTATCACAACATGCTAATGTTTTGAGAAGGACTTGTACTGGGGAGTACTGGCATGTCCAGACAACTCACCAAAGACATGCCGGTACAGGTCGCTCACAGTATTTTTGCTCAGTGCGAATGAGGTTTTTGGGAAGAGTTTGTTTAAGAGCAATTACTGTAACTAGTTATGGCATGAAAATGCTTTTGACTCATCAGGAATTTTAAAATAAAAACTGTCTGTCTTTCATATGAGATACAACAGTATTTCAGTTGCCAAAATAGTCTTGTAAGTCGTCTCCTGCTTACGAAGGCTGCCGAGTTCCATGCTATTCCTGGACAAAACAACGCCTCTGACCTTCCCGCCCAAACCTAAACAGTCCACGTTTAAGCAAACGCTGGAATTTCTTCGTCCACAGCTGCAGCTTGTCTTGCTCCATCGAGACATCCGTCCATTTGGTGTTTTTTAATCCTCTAATTATTCACTTCCCCCCTTTATCCCAGTGTTAGTGTGGGCGTGTGATCCATCGGCCCCGTAGGTTGGCTCCCATGTACAGTTCTCCATCAGGCCGGGCCCCTAATCCCAGAGAAATGTGCAAAGTAAACCGTGATCTGTGGTGACCTCGCTCTCCCACTCGTCAAAAGAACCGCTCCCAAACTCTGGACAAGTCTATCAACACTCACCATTGGGCGTTTGTGGGGTATGTCTAAGGAAATCCAAAAAGTAAACCGTATAATGTGCAATATTAAGTTGAGTAGATATAACACCTTGTTTGTGTCTGTCTGGCCCAATAACCACATCTAGAGAATAAATATTGTGGCGTGTGTTAGAATGTGAAATATTGTTTGTAAGTACTTGGATACACATGAGAAATGGAATTGGAGAATGAGCACCACTCTTAAATCCAGAGTCCATTAGTTTGATCTAAATCTAACATGGTGGAGTCTAAAGCATGTGTGTTGTAAAGAAGGTCATTTGACTTGTTGTAACTAATTGGGCTAATACTTTAGTTAGCTTGAAAACATAGTGGACCAGGTGAATGTTTTCAAACTTGGGTATTTACCTTTTGCCATAAATTATAAATGTGAAAACTAACGGTAGAAAGTTAAATGGATTTCTGTGTTTTTGAGGTTTGAAAGTCAGGTACCTCAGCTTTAATGTCAGAAGTTCTTCACATTTGCAGAATATGAGGAGCAACAAATGTGTCCTTTACAGTGGTCCCGGAACAGATGATTATACTTATTTATTATTGAAATTACCTTGCACCGATGGAAATGTATTAAAATGGCTTCAATGACATCTTTTACCACAAGATAACTCAAGAAAACAAGCGCTTAATTCTTTCTAAAATTAGTTATAGTTGAACAACGTAATGTCATGTAAATTCATCCTTTGAATCTGACACCCCTGAGACTACTATAGGTCTGTTTGATAAGGAAACAACTTTGATAGTAGGAATGAAAAAAAAATACATATTAAAAAACGGCATTGTTATTTATTACTTGAGTCTTGTGATTTTAATGTTTAATTGTTTTATTGACTTAAATGTGTTTAATTACCTGAGTAATTTCAAATGCGTTTTTAATGGTGATTTTGGTATTTATGTTTCATGTGATTATTTTTGCCTTGTGTGATGTGGACACTCAAGCGCTTTGTGTTATCTTATGGTGGAAAAGCGTTCTACAAATGAAGATTGATTGATTGAAAGAGGATTTTCTCTTTATTATTTGATTGTGGAGGTGTCATTATCCACAAATGTACATCACAATCACTCAAAGCAATAAGATGATTCAAAACATCCCGTGATTCTGCTCTCTCGCTCTCTCTACAGAATCATAATCAGAACCAGAAGTCGTTTTTATTGTCATCGTAAGAAACAGGAAGTCACAGTTTAAACCTCAACGTGAAAAGCCCTTTCTCACCAAGACATTGTCCGTAAGCTTCATTACGTACAGCACACAAACTCATACGTTCTTCGCTCATTCTCTCTGAATCTTTTTTCCCCAAGAGTCAAACCGTTGAAATCCAACCAAAGTGACCCCGTTAAATAAACGTGTTTTCATTGTGCGGCCTGTTTAACCTCAAGCTGCGACATCTCCTCTCACAATACTCACATCCACCTACACGTATCCGCATCGCTCGCACAGACAATGGCGCCCTATGCTCTTCGGCTGCAGCGTAACCCGATCGCGGCTCCTGTTGTTGTCCCGTTTTGACACCGAGAAGTGGCGTTTGTGTGCGGTTAGACTGGGACGGGCGGGGTCGGGGCCAGGGGTGCGCGCCGCTATCGGCTTTCGGGCCCCCGAGGAGCCAGGCGGAGAGCGGAGGAGATAGTGTGTGTTGGGAAAGCACCAGTTCTGTGGGGGATAATGGAGGAGAAGAACGTGCTTGTTTGGTTATTGTCTGATAGAGAGCGCGATGAGGGCGGACGAAGCCAGTAGGAGGTGGTCTACGCTCATTTTCGTGCCAGAATATGATGTCACTTAAAGCTGGGGTACCTATTTCAAACCAGCTCCCTGCTTTCAAAACAGTTCGATCACAATATTTCACACGCATGGCCTCTGTCACAGCTTTAGATCAGCTTTGTCAGATGGAAAAGTAGAAAAATAAGCGTCAAATAGTGATGCACAGAAATCGTCCGAACAAGAATGCACATTTGTTCACATTTGACCATAATTACTTCTACTCTAAACTTATTATTTTTACAACTTGAACGATGCCGGGGGAAAAGGCCCATATAAGGACATTGGCTCCAGCTAGCTATTGTTCAAATCAGCTTCTTTTACGTTCGGCAAACACTATGGTGTCCAATTCTGATGTACAGTCTGTGGTCCAGAGGAAGATTAAGGTAGATCTGTTGAGCCAGCCAAAAATAAACACAGTCTGGATTTGATGCCAACGCTAAAACTTATGATGTAAATAAACCGAACAAGCTGCACCCAAAGAGGCAAAAATAAAACCACCGGACTTGCTTGACCAGGTCTAACAAAAATAAGGCAGAAACAACATGCTAACCCAAAACTGGCGTCCGGTGGAGAGAAAAACATGGGCAAAACGTTGAGCAATGACCAATCAAGAGAGCAGGACAGTGGTGCTGGGGTCACAAGCCGGTCAGTAATATTTACTTATAGAGCGCATTTTTTACAGGCCAAGGTCACACAAAGAGCTTTACAATGTTGAGAGTTCAGCAAAAAAAATAGCAAAAACACAGTGCTTCACAGAGTTCAAAAAGCTCTGGTTAATTCTAGCGTAGCACTGGGATGGTACTCCTGTAATCAGACGTCTCCAGAGGGCGGACCCAGACACGCTGCGGAGCTGAACTCGTGTTGGACAGCTTTATGTAAGTACACACGGAAAACTGTTTTTTTTTTTTTTGTGAAATCTATATTGGAAGCATCAAGAAGGAAAGTGACAAATTGCATTGTACAGAACCAAAACAGATCAATATTTACATGAAATTCATACAGATAAGGAATAAAAGGAAGTAAGGAGGGATTTAATGCATTTTGGGGTGTATGTGTGTGTGTGTGAGTGTGTGTGTGTGTGTCCAGGGGTCACTATTATTGCTTATATTATCATTGAAGTGTTAGGAAATAGTTATTGTTGTTTGTAACAGTTGCAACAGTGTGAGGACAGTGTTTTTATTTGATGATTTTTAATAAACGGGCTTCCAAAACCCAACCACAGTGCCCCGGCAGTGAGAGTGGTGCTTAACTGCGGCAATTAACTATTTAGGAGTTTTGACGTAGTGATGGAGCGAAAGATAAAAATTAGATGCACTTAACAGAACAGCGTCAGAGAAGCGCTTGCCCGTGCGCACTTGACTAAAAGCTCTGTCATGTGTGCGATGACGCTGACGAATGAGCCGCCTTCTCTCGGCCCTGCTTCAGAATATTAATCCTCTGCCTCCGCTACAGTCTGCACGTCTCTGGGATCTGACGCTCCACGCCGCTGGGTCGGGTGAACTAATGAAGTACAAATACATTAAACTCAGATATTGTATTACATCAGTACTTTCAGATTTGGGTCTCTCTCAGCGTCTCTCCGGCTGATACTGACCCAGATCATCTCATCCACATCTTACAGGGCAAGAGACCATTTCAATTCATTTTGTAACAAGTACAAATTGGTTTGAGAGAGGAACTTTCCAGTGCAAGAATTAGATTCAAACTCTCCATCGCTCATTCCCCTGATTCCTGATTGTAATTCATTCATTTAAATTCTTGATTGACCGATGGCTTAACCATTTCCCTCAAGCAAATGTCACTGGCGGTGGTTATGTGGCAGGGCCTGGTTAGTACTGTGATGGGAGACCTCTGGGAACATCAGGTGCTACAGTGGGGCAGCTGTAAAGTGCCAAACTGTTGTTGTGTCCTTAGGCAAGACACTTCACCCACATTGCCTAGAACAAGTCAGGTGGTCAGATGGCACCCCGATGTGCCCCAGGGCAGCTGTGGCAACATCGCCACCGTGTATGGAGTGAATGATTAATGACATATGAAGTTTCTAAAAAGTTGTATATAAAACCTATGCATTATTATTGATTGACTGCGGAACCTTCCGCAGTCAACCATTGGTTTTGTATTTCTTTATTCCGTCATTTTTTTTGACACGTTTCACAGCTTTCACATTTTCAACAATTTCCACAAGTTATACATCAAAACGTTCCACATGTTTGGGAGATTATTGCTATTACTTTTGGGACTTCAGCGATTTCCGGTTTTTCCGCAATCGGACAAAAATCTGCATTGAGTATTCTGCAATGCATTTTAATAGGCCCATGCATTTTAATAGGACTTCAGCTCTTTCAGACATTTCTACAGTTTCAATGATTCAACAGTTTCAAGGATTCAACAGTTTCAAGGATTTCAGCAGTTTCAAGATTTCAAGAGTTTCAAGGACTTCAACAGTTTCAAGGACTTCAGCAGTTTCAAGGACTTCAGCAGTTTCAAGGACTTCAGCAGTTTCAAGGACTTCAGCAGTTTCAAGGACTTCAGTGTAATTATGCAACCTAATAGGGATTTTTCCATGTAAACCAGTATAATGCAACTTAATAGGGATTTTTCCATGTAAACCAGTATAATGCAACTTAATAGGGTTTTTTCATGTAAACCAGTATAATGCAACTTAATAGGGTTTTTTTTCATGTAAACCAGTATAATGCAACTTAATGGGGATTTTTCCATGTAAACCAGTATAATGCAACTTAATAGGGGTTTTTACATGTAAACCAGTATAATGCAAATTAATAGGGTTTTTTCCATGTAAACCAGTATAATGCAACTTAATAGGGATTTTTCCATGTAAACCAGTACAATGCAACTTAATAGGGATTTTTCCATGTAAACCAGTATAATGCAACTTAATGGGGATTTTTCCATGTAAACCAGTATAATGCAACTTAATGGGGATTTTTCCATGTAAACCAGTATTATGCAACTTAATAGGGATTTTTCCATGTAAACCAGTATAATGCAACTTAATAGGGATTTTTCCATGTAAACCAGTATAATGCAACTTAATGGGGATTTTTCCATGTAAACCAGTATAATGCAACTTAATAGGGGTTTTTACATGTAAACCAGTATAATGCAACTTAATAGGGTTTTTTCCATGTAAACCAGTATAATGCAACTTAATAGGGTTTTTTCCATGTAAACCAGTACAATGCAACTTAATAGGGATTTTTCCATGTAAACCAGTATAATGCAACTTAATGGGGATTTTTCCATGTAAACCAGTATAATGCAACTTAATGGGGATTTTTCCATGTAAACCAGTATTATGCAACTTAATAGGGATTTTTCCATGTAAACCAGTATAATGCAACTTAATAGGGATTTTTCCATGTAAACCAGTATAATGCAACTTAATGGGGATTTTTCCATGTAAACCAGTATAATGCAACTTAATAGGGGTTTTTACATGTAAACCAGTATAATGCAACTTAATAGGGTTTTTTCCATGTAAACCAGTATAATGCAACTTAATAGGGTTTTTTCCATGTAAACCAGTACAATGCAACTTAATAGGGATTTTTCCATGTAAACCAGTATAATGCAACTTAATGGGGATTTTTCCATGTAAACCAGTATAATGCAACTTAATGGGGATTTTTCCATGTAAACCAGTATTATGCAACTTAATAGGGATTTTTCCATGTAAACCAGTATAATGCAACTTAATAGGGATTTTTCCATGTAAACCAGTATAATGCAACTTAATGGGGTTTTTACATGTAAACCAGTATAATGGAACTTTATAGGGGTTTTTACATGTAAACCAGTATAATGGAACTTAATAGGGGTTTTTACATGTAAACCAGTATAATGCAACTTAATAAGGATTTTTACATGTAAACCACTATAATGTAACCTAATAGGGGTTTTTACATGTAAACCAGTATAAAGCAACTTAATAGGGATTTGTACATGTAAACCAGTATAATGCAACCTAATAGGGATTTTTCCATGTAAACCAGTATAATGCAACTTAATAGAGATTTTTCCATGTAAACCAGTATAATGCAACTTAATAGGGATTTTTCCATGTAAACCAGTATAATGCAACCTATTACGGATTTTTCCATGTAAACCAGTATAATGCAACCTAATAGGTTGCATTATACCACCAGACCAAGACCCAAACGAAGACTCAGACCACCACCAGATAAGACCACAGACCAGGTTTCCTTAGTTACAGGAACCAAATTGTTTCAGCGGTGAGGGGATTTTTCAGTTTCAGGACACTTTCAATACATTCAGTAGTTTCAAGGATTTCAACTGTTTAAGAATTTAACCAGTTTCAAGGATATCAGGAGGTTCAAGGATTTCAGGAGTTTCCACACTTTCAACAGTTTCCAGGTTTAAAAAAGTTTCAAGGATTTCAGGAGTTTCAATGTTTCAACAGTTTCAAGGATTTCAGGAGTTTAAAGGTTTCAACAATTTCAAGGACTTCAGGAGTTTCAAATATCTATCAAGTATTTTAACAGTTTCAAGGCCTTTTAAAGGATTTCAAGGATTTTTTTTAGCAGATTTCCACATTAGATCTGTTCCGCAGTCAATCGCAATGGCTTCAGCCATTGCAAGTTTCTAGTTATTATTATTATTATGCCAAGGGGTGATACTATATTCAACTACTTCACATCATACATATTCAGGAAATCTAAAATATGTATCATTTTGAAACTGAAATACATTTGTAGGCATCAGAGGACTTAACCAACACTAACAATTCCCCACTGTTAATCCAACAATCTTAATCCAGCATCAGACCATTAAACACAATAAATGCATCAATAGAATAAAAATCACAGAAGGACCAATGTCTGTCAATAAATGTCCTCGATCATCACTGTCCTTATTCCCTGATTATCCAGTGATTTTCGTCCAAAGTTTAGACCAAAGCTGGAAAAAGGAATCAAAACCGTTTGCCTTGCCCT